GGCGAGCCCATAGTGCCGTGTGGTGCCGTGGTGGCCCGTGCAGTGCCGTGTGGTGCCATGGTGGCCCATGCAGTGCCGTGTGGTGCTGTGGTGGCCCATGCAGTGCCATGTGGTGCCGTGGTGGCCCATGCAGTGCCCTGGTGGCCTGTGCAGCACCATGCAGTGCCACGGTGGCCTATGCAGAGCCCTGCGCTGATGAGATGGCCCATGCAGTGCCCTGGTGGCCTGTGCAGCACCATGCAGTGCCACGGTGGCCTATGCAGAGCCCTGCGCTGATGAGATGGCCCATGCAGTGCCCTGGTGGCCTGTGCAGCACCATGCAGTGCCACGGTGGCCTATGCAGAGCCCTGCGCTGATGAGATGGCCCATGCAGTGCCCTGGTGGCCCACACAATGCCATGCGGTGCCATGGTGGCCTATGCAGTGCCCTGCGCTGATGAGGTGGCCCATACGGTGCCCTGGTAGCCTATGCAGTGCCATGTGGTGCCATGGTGACCCGCATGATGCCATGCAGTGCTGTGGTGGCCCACACAGTGCCATGCAGTGCCACGGTGGCCTATGCAGTGCCCTGCGCTGATGAGATGGCCCATGCAGTGCCCTGGTGGCTCATGCGGTGCCCTGGTAGCCTATGCAGTGCTGTGTGGTGCCATGAGGACCCACACGATGCCACGCAGTGCCATGGTGGCCCATGCAGTACCATGCGGTGATGTGGAGGCCCGTGCAGTGCCATGCGGTGCCGTGGTGGCCCGTACCACGCCATGCGGTGCTGCAGTGGCCCATGCAGTGCCATGCATGGCACGGTGGCCCACGCGGAGCGTGGTGGCCCAGCTTCCAGCCCCATCTAGCGGCAGCTGTCCCGGTGCCAAGCTCTCCCCATTTGTTCACAGGCACATCCCAGTGGTCGCGAGCGAGCGGACAGGGTGCCTTATCTCCCAGCTACGAAGGGAGCCTCCACACTTTAGTAAGTGTCACCGTAAGATCTGCCTTCTCCTGTTCTCCTCCATCCCTCGTGCACCTGGCGGTAAAGGACTTTGGGGTAAAGTCTTCTTCCCTAAACATCTGGGGCCTGAAGGAAGATGGTTAATCGATAGAGATTTGGTTGGAAGCAGCTGAGCAGAGTTGGGTGCTGCTTCCCTGGGCCCAGAGCGCTGGCTGGCAGAGGTGCAGCCTTGCACTCGCCCCCTGTTTACACCCATGCACATCCCTGGGGGTTTGGCCCAGCCGAAGAGATTTCTGGCTGGTTTCTTCCTCCCTTTCCTGAGAGTTTCCACTCGTGTGACCTCATGTACCCCTGGCTGGGTCGGGGGGTTGTTTCTCCCCATACCTACCTGGCGGTGATTGCCACCAGACACTCTTTAAGCAGGCTGCTGGCTTTACAGGTGTTAACGCAGACGTATTTCTCTGTCCTGTCCTTTAAGCAAAACAAAATGGAAGACAGGTTGGACGAAGCCATCCACGTGCTGAGGAATCACGCCGTGGGCCAGACAGCCGCCATGCCAAGCAACCACGGGGACATGCATGGGCTCCTGGGCTCGGCACCTGCCCACAGTGCTACCGTGGGCAGCCTGGGCCAGGCCTTCCCCGCCTCGGTCATGTCCCTGGGGAACAGACACCCGAGTCTGGTAAGTGTGCAAGCATCGTGGCAGCTGGCGGGGACATGCTGGGGACCCATGTCGTTGCAGTAACCTGGCATCCAGAGAGATGTTGCCTTTGGTGTGAGAGTAGCTCAGCGTGGTCCAGCTTGGGTCAGCTGTTGGCAGCTTTGAACAGTTGATGTGCCCAGAAGCACGGTGGCTTGCCTTGTTCGTGCCGGGGGGTTGAATCCATGCTCAGCACACTTGTGGCTCTCAGGCACAAGCCCTGCATGCAGTTTGCTCATGCACCTTCTCAGGGCAGGCAGAGGTGGTGAGAGTTGTCTTCTTTCCCTGCAACATGGATGGAAATCCCTCAAAACAGCTTCATGCTGTCTGCAGGGGATGCAAGGAGAAGGAGGAGAAGGATGCGGTGCAGGGCAGGACTGCGGGTATAGAGAGCCAGGTATCGCCAGGACTTCTCTGCTCCAAACTATTCGGGCAGGCACCGCATCCTTCCATGCACATGGGGAGTGCTGATGTGTGATGGCTCATTCAGGCTCCAAGGAGTGTGACAGGTCCCAGGTGCCTTGACCATGTGGATGCTGGGCTCCCATGCTGGGTCACTGGAGTGCCCCATTGTCCAGAGACTGGTGACCACAGGAGCATATTTTTGACAGAACCAGACGTGCTTCCCTTCCGAGCTCCCCAGACTCTGCTACTAAGCAGTGAATCAGATGTGCGTCCTCTGCTACAAACTGCTGCCAGCTGCAGAAAGGAGAGGGTGTGCAGCAGGGCTGGCTCTGTCCTGCCCGTCCCTGGCCAGCATCCTGCAGCCTCAGGAGGGGTACGGGCTCAGAAACACTGCCTGACCCTCGCCCTTTGCGTCTGGGCCCTTCGGAGTGAATTTCACACCGCTGGGGTGTCCCTTGCTCTGGTGGCACTGGGGAGGTGGCAGAAACATTGGTGTACGATGCAGACAGGACAGGTGCAGCCCAGGCAGGGTTTCCTCTCCAGTGTGCCAGCCTTGCATCCAGGCAGGGAGAGGCTTTTCCACGGTGGGGGGAGACAGCGCTGATGGAGGCTTTCTGCTTGGTCCAGCTGGTGTGGAGGGCACGGAGCTGCTTTCTGCAGTGCCCTCGCTGTGGTACCCAGAGGAGAGCTGGTGCTGGCGCAGGTCGGCGCTTCCCTCCTGCATGCCCACGCTCTGGGTGGTGGTGGGGTGTGAGGAGGGCAGGCAGCTGCCCCTCAGCCTGGTCTGCGGAGCCCGGTGGATGCAGTCAGGGTGACTGTGTCCATGCCCACTGCCCGTGACACTTCCCCCCACCACCACCCTCAAGGCTTGCTCTGCTTGTTCTGCTGTAGGTGGGAGGAGGTCACCCCGAAGATGGGTTGTCCAACAACCCCAGCATGCTCCACAACCACGTCACACTTCCGTCACAGCCCAGCTCACTCCCTGACCTCAACAGGCAGCAAGACACGTACAGCGGTAAGGCAGCTCTGCACGCTTGAGGCTCGTCTGCCGCGGGGGTGATTGGGGTCACCCATTAGGTCCAGCCCTGTGCAGCAGCAGCCTGGGGCGGGGGGACATGGGTGCTCTTGCAAGGCCGGTGCTTCCTTGCAGCATCCGCAGGGCAGTTTGTACCTCGAGCCTTCTCCGGAGGTTTGACCTACGCGTTCCTGTCCCTCCTGCCAGCTGTGGGTGCCCAGAGTCCACGGGCCCTGCCCTGCTGGGGGAGGTCGAGCACTGATTCTGGAGGGCCTGGGAGGTGGGAGGAGAAGAACAGGGAAGCTCCTCTTGCTGTGGACCGGCAATGCAGGATGAGTCGGGGTACTGCAGGCTGGCAATGTGGCATGGCAGGAGCAGGGCTTGGGGATGCCCCAGCCCTCCGTGTGGGTCAGACCCCTCCAACCTCCATGTGTGGTTCTGCTTCCTCAGCAGGCTTGTCAGGGGGGCTGGGGCGAAGCAGTGTCTCCTCGGGAACCAGCGAAATAAAGAGGGAAGAGAAGGAGGATGAAGAGAACACGTCGGTGGCAGATAACTCCGAAGAGGAGAAGAAGGAGCTGAAACCCTCCCGGAACAGAACAAGGTGCTCTTTGAACAGGTCTCTCCCTTCACTTACTCTGTTACCAGGCTGGGGTCATTTGGGCTGGGGTATGGCCATGATGACCTACCAGGTGCTGGGCTTGGCCCAGTGAGGCCAGGGGTCATCCTGTGGCACAGACCCCCCCAGCCCCTGCCCGCCGCAGGAGCCTCGTGTGTCCTCACACAGAGCCGGCACAGCCTGGGCTCCCACTGCTTCCCTGCAGCCGGCCGCTTAGGGCCATGCCAGGGAAGGGTCCCTGCCACCCTCTCCTGCTGGCTTCTGTCCCCCATGGCCACAGGGCTTCCTCAGGCTCGTAACGCAGAGGGCTTGCACCTTATCCACACAAGCTGCACCCACCTGCGTGTTCTCTCAGGATGTTGCTTGTGGCTGGGCGTGGAAAGGACCGAGCGCTCAGCTCCCCTCGACCAGGGGCGGGGAAGGTTTTGACCCCCTCCCTGCCTCGGGTTGATTCCGCTGTTTGCTTCGGACTCCTGTATCCTCTTGTCACGTCCAGCCAGATATGTGGCAGCGGATCAGGTAGAGTCCTTCCAGCGTGCTAGTTTGTCTGCAACCTCACCATCGGCTCAGAGACCCCATGAGGGGTGATGCTCCCCGGAGGGGCAGCACCAGCCCCGCTGCAGCCACCTCCTGCCCTGGGGGCAGAGGGCTGCGTCTTCCCAAAATGCCAGCTTGGGACACCAGCGTTGGCCCCCACACCTTCTCCAGGCCACCCTGCAACCTCCTGGCAACAAGCTCAGGATTTAATCGCATTATTGTGGATTCTTTCTTTGTTGTGTAAAAACAAACAAAAAAAAAAAGGCAGAAGAAGAACCTTAATTGCTTCTCTCCGAAGTCACTGCGTGTCCCCGTGTCTGAGTGCGGGGCACGTGGGGCACAGTGCCCTGTCCTGCGGGGCCACGCGCGGGGCTTGGCATCTCGGTGCCTCGACGTGTTTTTCTTTTCTGTGAGTTGACCAGTGCTGAGAGTGCACGCGAGGAATGTCCCTGTCTCGTTCTTATTTTAAACCATTAGTCAAGATGAGGATGAGGAGGACGATCTTCTTCCCCCAGAGCAAAAAGCCGAGAGAGAGAGAGAAAGGAGGGTCGCCAATAATGCCCGTGAGCGCCTGCGGGTCCGTGACATCAACGAGGCCTTTAAAGAGCTCGGACGCATGTGCCAACTCCACCTAAACAGCGAAAAACCGCAGACCAAACTGCTAATCCTACACCAGGCCGTATCAGTCATACTGAACCTGGAGCAACAAGTTAGAGGTCAGTGAGGGTCCCGGAGTGGTGATATTTTACGTATCTGATCGGCACGGGGCTGTCTGTCTGTCTGTCTCCTGTGCCATGTGCTGTGGTGCCTCGCACTGTCTCTCTCCCCTGTGGCCTTGGGTTCCCAAGGCTGTTGATGTCCTTTATTTTTTGTCCTTTTTTTTTTTGTCCTTTTTTATTTTTTTTGTCCTTTTTTTGCATCCCTGCTGTTCTCTCTTTTGTTGCCCGCTGCCACTGCGTGTGCTGCATGCCGGTCCCCGAGGGGACACCTGTGCTGTCCTCACTTTCCCAGGTGTTTTGCTCAGCTGCCTGGTCAGCAAAATGGGGAGAAAAAAAAAACAAAACAAAAAACCAAAACCCCAGCAAATCTCCCGGAGAGGGCACAGATCTGACGTCTCTCCAGGGGCTTCTCCAAGCCCAGAGCCTGTCTCTGCCCATGGCCGCAGCAGCAGTGAGCGATGCCCCATCCTCCCTGCCCACCCGGCGTGGGGCTCTGCGTTCCTGTTCCCCTGGGGATCGCTGGAGCCCTGCGAGGGGCAGCGGGAGGGAGGTGCTGAGCCCAGGGTGGAGCAGCCCTCGCTGCCTGTACAAACCAGTCTCTGACAGAAACTGGGAGCACTGCGCATCCCTAGCAGAGCCTGGACCTGCGGGCGGGCACACGCAGGCTCTCCCCCTCGCCGGGGCACGCTCATGTTCCCTTCCCACGTGTGTGTGTGTGTGTGTGTGTGTGTCATCTCTGCCACCCGTGCTTGCCCTGGGTGCCGTGTCCTGGTGGGAGGGGAAGCAGAGGGCTTGGCTTCCTGCTCCGGAGGACTTTGCTGCTTTGTTCCTGCATCCCGCAGTGCATGCTCCCGCTCCCCGGCCCCGCTGCGCAGGGTGCCGTGGCAGGTTAACCCCCTTTCTCTCTGCAGAGGCTGTTGTAACACGCATCGGTGGTTTGTGCCTGGCTGTGCTCCTCTCTGCTGGCCTCTGCTGTTGCATTGATGTTGGAGTCCTTTGTGCCTCTCTTCAGTTTGTAATTTTTTGCCTTTCATAACATGTATATTTTTTCCTGTCTCTTTTTTAATTTCCCCTTCCTTTTTATTTTTTATTTTGTGGTTCTGTTCTTTCCGATCTCCTACAGACAGTCCCCAGCCGTGACCTCTCGGTGGTCCCACTCTCTACCTTGTACTTGCTGCTTGCGGATGGAGGCAGGAGCTGAGGGGCGGCGGGGGGCAGGGGCTAGACAGAGTTGGCACCGTGTTCACTTTGGTCTCCCACGCTTGTCCCTTTTTAAACCCTTCTCGGACACAGCCGGGGAAGTGAG